ATTTTACTCATTTCTTTAAATTTTAAAATAGTTTCTGACTTAAAAAAATTACCAAAAATTTTATAAAAATATTTGAGTTCATTTCTGATTTTTCTATGGTCTTACTTTTTTATTTATTGATTAATTTGAACATATTTGATATTTTTATCCCTTATTTCTATTTTAAATAATTTTAAAACCTCTTTTAATGTATATATTAAATGCTATATTATTTTGTGATTATTTTCTGGCTGATCTTGAATTGAATTTTGGATCATGAACTTTATTAACATCATTGGATCCATGGTGTTGAGTTTAACTCCATAAAAATGGATGAATAATTTTAATAATAATTTGATTAAATTTAATATAAATGTGGTTTGTATTCTTTCCCACCCCTCTTCATCTCTTCCCTTTCTTATTGCACTAAGTGTTATTGGAGCATGATCTATATATCATGTCTTAAAACAAATGGTGCATAGATTTCTATTAACCGACCTCAAAATAAGTGCGACTTCTATATAAGTCCACTTACGATTGCTTAACATAGCACTAAATTTTGTACCGATTCGAATAAATGAGCATTCGTGGCCCAAACCTATGTTTGCAAGCCCAAGTATGTTAATTTGATCTCTTTGATCCAATAACCTTGAGATTCATTGTGTGGAGGCTTTGATTCTACCAATTCTCTAATGGATCTACATCACTTTTGGTCAACGCGGATCACTTAAACATCGTTGATCATTAAATGGTACTTTTAAGGATTCCAAAATGGATGATATACTTGACAAAAAGAAAATGCAACTTGTTGTGTGGAGGCTTTGGTTCTACCAATCCTCTAATGAGTTCCAAATTCAAGTTTCAAGATGGTCATCCAACTAATCACTAATTATTAACAATTTATTTTACTTTATGCTTTTATTTTTTTTATGCTTTATGTACCATTTACTTTAAGTATTACATTTTATCCTACTTTTCATCTTTGCTCACTTGAGCATTTATGTTCTTGTCATTTTAATTTTTGCTCACTTGAGCCTTTCTTTTTTTAAGACACCTAATAATCAACATGAACCATAAAAAGCTTTAATGATATTTGGACTATTTGGTTACTATTCTTGGCATTGTGGAGCATTGGACTTCTTGGACTTAGGAATAAAAACCTTGGTCTATGTTGGAGACCTTGTAGCCTTAATTGATATTTTATCTGGAGTTCTTGAGGTTTACTTCAAGATATTGGGTTGTTTGTTTGTTTTGTATGCAGGTTATTGTGATTACATACTTTGTTTGTAATCTGGAATTCACCCGTATACAGCCGTTACTCTGCCCAATTTTTGTGAAGACTTAATACACTTGAAGTTTAGTTCTCTCAAGAGGTCTAGTATCTTTGCTTGCTTGGTTTCAATCCAAAAAATGGGAAATCTATATTGACTCATAATGTCAAGTATTTTCTTCTTGTTGGTTAGATGGTTCTTATCCCTAGCTTTTACCTTATGCTTTAGGATAGTCTCTTCATCTCCTCCCATCTTCTTTAATTTCAAAAATCTTCTTCCTCCTTTTGAAAACTCTTCTTGTTTTTTAAACTTGAACCACTTTCATAATAAACTTGGACTTAGGTCCATGCATTTTCAAAACATTTTCATAAATAAACTTCAATCAACTTAATAATACCTTGAAATTTTTTGTGAGAAGACTAAAAGTCAATCAATCTCATTCAAACCATTTTGCCACTTTGGCTTTTACTTTAAACTTTTCTCAAAAGATTAGACTCTTGTCAATCCTTGTAGTGATGCAAACAACTATACTTCTACAATATGTAGTGAAGAGAGATATTTCCCACTTGGGTGTTGAGTGAAGCATTGTTGATTTTAAAATCCAAGCCATATCCTCCACTTTGAGATGATGCAAATTCTCCTTTCTCATGATTGTGGGTAGTAAGTATTTTTTCCACACAGAAATGACGGTGATGTCTTATCTCATAAAATTAACCAACACACTTGTGTTTTAAAATTTTTAAAGGTGAACTATGTGTACTCTGATCCCCTATTACACGAAAGGTGATACGTAGGCACTAAAGGTTCACAACCGTGGCAGGTGCAAAAATCATAAAAAATACTTCTTTTCTCACCTCCACCATCTATTTTACATACAACATTTTATAGCCAAAATATACAGATTTTTCAAAGAGGTTTCTGCGGAGTACTATAGATGTTTAGGGTGCTAATACCTTCCCTTTGCATAACCAACCCCCTTACCTTAAATATTTCCCCCTCTTTTTGGGTTATTCTCTCTTTTCCCATTCCTTTAGAAACAATAAAGCGCGGTGGCGATTTTTATTTTGATCTGTATAAGTCTAGTCAATCCAATGGCTTAGTCAACGACTACTATCAAATATTTGTTTTAATTTGTACCTACCAAGAACGGAACGAGGAGGTCTAACCCCCACTAAGGCAAAGGGCCATGGAGAAGAGAGGGACCTGAGATCGTTTGAGGGAGCCATGTGAATGTCCCCATGCCTATGGCATTTGTCGCATTTCTTATATGCTCTTTCACGTTGTGCTGCATGGAGGGCCAATAATACCCAACTCGCAGAGCTTTTCTGGCGAGGGATCTTCTGCCCAGATGTTGGTCGTTTATCCCTTCATGGATCTCGATCAGGATGCAATCCATTTTGCTTTGGTCGAAGCATTTGAGGAGGGGATAGAAAACCCACTCTTGTAAAGCTTTCCTTTGACTAAGACATAGGAACATGTTCTTCGCTTGACCACCACCGCTTCCTTCGAGTCGACAAGAAGCTCTCATCTTGTTAGGTATTTTTGTACAGGGGTCATCCAACAGTCGTCGTCTCCTATGGAGAATACTCCCAAAATCGAGGGGGTCTTTAGGTGCTCGGTCGAGGAAGAATTTCTTGTATGACCGACTTGTTCCCCCTTTCCTCTTTGTGCTTGTTAGTTTGGATAGGATGTCTTCCTTGGCATTATGTTCGCGGGGAACATGCTGTACGTCCACATATTTGAATTTTTTTTCTCTCTTGGACCATGGCCTAATACTCAGCGAGGTGATCGTTTTTCACCTGATATTCTCCCCAGACCTAGGATATAATGAGCTGAGAGTCAGTGAATATTTTCACCTCCTTGGCTCCCAGATCTTTGGCTAGGCGTAAATCTGTTATAAATGCCTTGTATTCGGCCTGGTTATTTGAGGTCCGAAAAGATAATGCAAGGGAGACCTCGATTAGGGTTCCTTCTTTATTTTCCAATATAATTCCTACACCGCTTCCCGTCGAACTGGAGGCACCGTCGATTTTTTTTCCATCGGCGTGCCTCGTCCTAGGGTGCAGGAGAGGTAATTTCAGCCACAAAGTTGGCAAGTGCTTGAGCTTTGAGGGCTTTCCTGCCTTTGTACTGGATGTCGAACTCGAAGAGTTCTAACGACCATTTCAACATTCTGCTCGACATGTCAGGCCTATCGAGCAACTGCTTTATTGGTTGATCTATTCAGACGGTTATGGTATGCGCCAAGAAATAGTGATTGAGTCTCCTCACCGCATTGATGAGGGCTAGAGCCACCTTTTCAATTTACTGATATCTTACTTTGGGGCCCTGCAGGGCCTTTCTCTTAAAGTAGATATGCCTCTACCTAAAGCTACCGGCAGAAAACAAAGAGCCGCCACCGAACATTATTTATCCCGAAGGAAGGGGAAATATCGAGAAAACCACAAGAGGATGGATAAGATGGTCTTGCGACCAAGAGAAAGGGTAAGGGAGTCGGTTATGCGAGGGGAAGGTATTAGCACCCCTCACATCCATTGTACTTAACGGGATCCATTTTTTTTGTTTGCTTCTAAGGGTGTGTTTATCTATAACTATACTTGCTTAAGGGGAAAGAAATGGTTTTTTATTAGTGCGTTCGTTAGGGTCTCGCCACCCTTTGCATATGTATCCAGTGAAGGAATTAGAACACCGTGGTTCCTCTAGAAAATGTTGGTTGGTGTTTTTCAGTGGGCGATGTTAACGTATACATTCTAGAAATAAGCACAACCTGTATCACGGTAGAACGAAGATAACATGCCCTTTGGGTGATGTTTTGATTGGTTGAGTGTTTTGCGGGTTTTAGAATAAATTTGAGTAATGATTAAATGTTTTTGGATTTTTGATTTGTAAATGGAAAGTTTTAATTAAAATTACAAAAGAAAAAAAGTTTTAAGAGGGAGACTAGAAAAACCCTAATGTTATCATGCATAGGTTGATCTTAATGTCTAATACAACATTAAGTGATCAAAATGAATTTCAATCACTTAATGGAATATCCTAAGGGAATACAACAAGAATTTCCCAAGCAACCGAACAAAACAACAAAGCTAATATTTATGATTTTTACCAAGTGAAGAAAAAATGACTAAGCGAAATTAACTAAAATAATTAACAAAATTAAAACAAATACTAAATTAAATTCATAAAATTACTAAGTTGATCTTAAGTAACCTAATTAAGAAAATATAAAACTAAGAATAAAAATAAACTAATTAGTAAGAAAATTTAAATTAAATAGGTTTTTTTTAAAAGAAGGTGCAAGCAAAATATGGGGTGGGTAAGTTGAATTCAGATGGGCTTTAAAAGAAAAAAACAAACTGTAGGCCCTAAGCACATCAAACAATCCAACAAAAATAAAAAATAAACTGGGCTTAGATGGACCGGGTCGGATTAGACCCAGATCCAACCCATTTCTAAAAGAAAATGGAAACGGGTTATGTAAACCCTAAACAAGATGAGGCTAGTTCCTCTCTTAAGACAGAACAAAGTAGAAGAAAATTTTTCTATCAAAATGATTGCTCGCTCTTCTATGGACTATACTCCTCCTGCCATGGCTAATTCTTTATCCTTCTAAATCTCAATCAAACAAAACACAACTTCACTCTGTTTCCTTCTCTTCACAAAATCAAAACTAAACCAAACCCCACCATCTATAAAAACCGATCGAATAGAGATGTCAGAGAGATGAATATAACAATCAGAGAATGTACAATGTCAAAGCGAGGTGAACTTACCTTCGAGAAGGAGATTTGTATTGGTTTTTGTTGTAGTCAATGGTGGAGTGAAAATGAAAAGAAAACCAGAGGCTTGACAAGGTTGCAATATCCAGGTAAGAACATATTCGATCTAATGAGTAATACCCTTTGACTATCTTCCGTCTAGATCTTTTGCTTTTATTTCTTCTCTATTTTTCTATGTTTCTGAAATTTATTGTTGAAGCTGTGGTGTTGTTGAGTCTGTTCAAAATGATGAACAAGTTGAAATGTCGTTGTTTCTATATTGCAGGGTTACGGTTTTGGTTGTGTATCAGGGTATGAGCAGAATTGCAGTTAAATGGTGCTTGGAATATGCAGAGTTGGGTTAAGGTTATGAGGCATTTGGAGTAATGCTGATGTAGGGTTTTGTACAGAGAACTTATTTTGCATAGAGTTTGAGCATAAACGCATTTAAGGTGATCTTCCTAGTGTGTGGAGGTTGTTGGTAAGTTTTTATGTTTGGTTTAGGGTTTACTCAAGAAGAAGAATGCAAGTGTGAGATACATTTTGATGTTGCAGAGTCGAGCTTACAGGTAAGATTAAGGATTTTGCATTGTGTTTTTCCTGCTATCTTTCTCTTTTATCCCTGTTTCTTTGTGTTATATGTTTTGCATATGGCAAAGAGAGTATTGCATGGTTTTTGTATGGATTCTCTCTACTATGCTCTCCTGATTGTCGTCCTCCATCTATTGTTCTTATAGCAAATATGATATTCGAATTGGGGGGGGGGGGGGGGCATCATGAGTCTAAACATATGCAGTAGGCTGATTTTTACTTTTGGGAGGCAGGTTCTGACTTGCTAATTTGGTACAATGTTGACATATTTTTTTGGAGGAGAGTGGGAAAACTTTGCCAGTAGGGAACACATGTTATGCAGGGCTATAGGCTGTTGTAGAAGAGCGGCATGCTGTTTGTAGCAGCAGGTAAAAGGGCTGGACAGTTTGGACAACAACTAATGCAAAGTGCTGGACTAGTTTTTTTCTTTTGTGATACAGGATAGCAATAGAATGGGAAGTAGGTCTTGACAGGTTTTTGGTTTGAAGAAAATTTGGACTGGTTCTTGTGGTTTTATGTAGGTTTGGGACAGGGTCTGTATAGGATGATTGTGCAGGTTTTTGGTGGTTTTAGTTAGGTGACATCTTTCTAATCTCAATATTTTTCTTTTCTTCTATCTATGACGTACAACCATGCTGCTTTTCACACAATTTTCTGAAGGGTTTAGTTTAGGGAAATGATGATATATAGGGCTTTGGGTATGTGTTAGCTTGTTGTGTTTGCTATTGTATATTTTCTAGCTGCTGCTTTGCTAGTTTGTGGTTGTTACCGTTTGGCTTATTTTTGTTTGCAGCAAGTCGGCCCTTTGCTGCTGCTGTTTAGCAGTTCTGCTGCTTTGCTTGTTTTGCTTGCTGTTGGACAATTTTTGTTTGATGCAAGTCTGCCCTTTGCTGCTGCTATTAAGCAATTCTGCTGCATTTCTTGTTTTGATTGCAGCTTATAGCTATTTGTCTTGTTTAGGGCTACTGTGACTGTTTTATATTTGCTGCATTACTTGCAGCATCCATTTGCCTGTTTGGCAGTTTTTGACTTTGTTTTTTTGCATTTTTGTGCTTTGCTTTTGCAGTAAAAAAAAGTTTGCAAATTTCTTTTCCTTTTGTGAACCAAAAACCCAAACTTTTTGTGATTTGAAAAATCGGAAAAGATATCCCATGATTGAATCAACCCCTTTTAATTTCTGATTCCAAATACAAACCCTAATGATGAAATGAAAGTTCTCTTTTAACAATTAATTCTTGTTTGGAATTTTATTCACATATTGATGTTTGCTAACTCTTTCCCTCTTTCTTGTTACATGAGCATGAGGATTGGATGGCAAAATCAAGGTTGAAAGATGAAGAAAAATTCATGGCGAGGAGTGAGGACGATTTGCTTGAAGATGAAGCAAAAGAAACTTGAAGAACCAATATTTTATTTGTAAACAAAAATATTTGTAGCTTGTGTTTCAAATTGGCAACTTGCTTTGTAAATTTCCCACAAAAATGTAATGAATAGGAAACTTGAATGATATTTCTTTGAACTTTATGAATGATGAACTTGTTGTATGGAAATTGGATAAGTCTTGGACTTTGGTTAAAACTTGAATGACATTTGAATCTCAAATTGTGATTGAAATTCCTTTGATGATGCATATGCTCGGTACAAGTCATTTTAGAAAATAACTTTGGACCAAGGTGGACCTTGCATAAATTAAGTGATGATGAATGAAAACTCGAATGAAACTCAAGACAATCACCTGAAAGAATCCCAACTCACAACTTACCTTCAAAATCAAGTCCAAAATTTCTTGCATTAAAACGACAAGTGCTTGAGGAGACAAGAACACACTGATTATCCTGAACCTGCAACCTTATTTCTTGTGCCCGGATTCCATGTTCATCAATTTAAACTTCAAACTCTTGACTTGGTGACTTAGAGATCTTAAGAAGAAAACTTGAAGTATGACGAGATATTAGACATGAAATCCATAACCAAATGTCTTTCAGTTGATGCGTGTTCACAAGCCCAATCATGATGAGTATCAAGACCCTAATTCATTGTGATTTAAAATGAGGCAATGTAGAAAACCTAAGCATGAAATGAGACATACAATTGACTTTGAGTTATCTTTGAGGCAGGTGAAAGAAACATTTCACAATAACTAGGGATCCAAAACCCTAGTATCTTGACCAACAATAGGGAAATAAACCCTAATCCAGGCCCTGAGGAATTTGAGTGAGAAACAGCCTTGTAACTTGATGAGAAAGAACTCCATGATAACCCTACTCCAAAACTTAATTCAACAGTCCACTAATCGAGAACCAGATGAATTATCCTTTAGATGATGAAGGAACCTCAAAACCAAAATGAAACCCTAGTCTTGCCCCAAATACTGCTTCTTGAACCAAAATACCTTATTTAATGCAATGCATGATATGCAAATGAACAAGTGAAGATGAAGTAGATGAAATGCAAAGTCTAAGCCAAGCAAAAGTAAAAGGTAGGAAAAATTTGGGGTACGACAGCTTCCCCTATTTAATCCTCTTAAACCTGATGGTGAGATTGGCGTCAGCCTTTCGAAAGTTCAAGATGGAAGATGATTAAATACCAGGACCTGGAATTTGTCCTGGAGAGGTGGTGTGAGTTTTATTTGTTCGTGACGTCTGCTGGGGATGAGAAAAATTTATTTTCTGGTGAACTGGTCATGATGGATAAATTGGTTTGAATAATGATAGCTTGTACTGGGGTAACGGTTCCAATACAAGGTTCTCGGGGAAATGGGTGTTAAAGTGACTGAAAATATATGGTTGACGATGTCGTGGTGAATGAAAGTAGGATTAATAACAACATGATAACTTAAAGACGATGGGTAGAACTCAACGACAATGGAGAATCTATCGCGAGGGATTCACGACCCAAAAAGAAAGATAACAACAATGGGTAAAGATTGACGTATGATCAGCAACTCAAGGGAAATGATATCATGAGGGTAAGACTGGTGAGCAACATACGACCCAAGAAAAGATGACAAAAGGGTAATATATATGGACGACCTACGACCCTATAAAAGATAGCGCGAGGATAAGATCTACGGATGACCTACGACCCAAAATAGGATAAAGCGAAGGTAAGATCTACGGACGATCTACGACCTTAATAATGATAACGCGAAGGTAAGATCTACGGACGACCTACGACCTTAAAAAATGATAACATGAGGGTAAGATCTACGGACAACCTACGACCCTATAAAGATAATGTGAGGGTAAAGTCAACGGACGACCTACGACCCTAGAAAAAGTAAAGTGAGGGAAAGATCTATGGATGACCTACAACCCAAGAAAAAATAACGTGAGGGTAAGATCTACAGATGACCTACAACCTTAAAAATTATAACATGAGGGTAAGATCTACGGATGAGCTACAACCTTAAAAATGATAAAAATAGGGTAAAGTCTACGGACGACTTACGACCCTAGGAAAAGTAAAGTGAGGGTAAGATCTACAGATGACCTACGATCCAAGAGGAGATAACGCGAAGGTAAGATCTACAAGTGACCTATGACTTTAAAAATGATAACATGAGGGTAAAATCTATGGACGACCTACGACCCTAGGAAAAGTAAAGTGAGGGTAAGATCTACGGACGACCTACGACCCAAGAGGAGATAACATGAAGGTAAGATCTACGAGCGACCTACGACCTTAAAAATGATAACATGAGGGTAAAATCTATAGATGACCTGCGACCCAAGGAAAAGTAAAGTAAGGTTAATATCTACGGACGACCTACGGCCCAAGAGGAGATAACACGAAGGTAAGATTTACGAGCGGCCTACGACCTTAAAAATGATAACGTGAGGGTAAAATCTACAGACGACCTACGTCCCTAGGAAAAGTAAAGTGAGGGTAAGATCTACAGACGACCTACGACCCAAGAGGAGATAATGCTAAGGTAAGATCTACGAGCGACTTATGACCCTTAAAATGATAACATGAGGGTAAAGTCTATGGACGACCTACGACCCAAGATAAGATGACGTGAAGGTAAGATCTACGAACGACCTACGACCTTAAAAATGATAAAGTAAGTATCAAGAGTTGGGGAGTACAATGTACTGGCACTATGGCTTACTTTGGTTGGTAGTGTAAAGAAAGATGTTAATTGGGAATTATAAGGATGATATTCTTTGTGGGAATGTTTTGTTGATTTGGGATTGATTTTGGGCTTTCGAGCAAGGCACCAAATCTGGCTCATGCTTCATATGAATTTGAAGTGTGACATGATGATTCATGAAGATGCAATATAATATACAGTGATGATTATTATATGCAAAGTGTCAAATATTAGGATCATTGGGATCCGCTACCTATTGTTTTGAGATACCAATACAGATTGGCGCTTGAGAACTTAGAGAATTGAGTTATAGCCATGTCGAGTTTGCTGGGGATTAAATCTTGTTAAAGAGGACTAGCTTGATCTGACTTTCTTCATATGCTGGACTTCTTGTGGATGACTGAGTAGAGATATGGATCTCATCAAATGCCCCAAGTTTCTCGGTGTTGGAGAGTCGGGTGCTCGGCCGTCTGCAAGGAGGTGCCAAGGATGAAAGCTTGGTCGAGGTGACCGTTATGACTGGCTACCTGCATAGAAAAAAAACAACACTTGAATGCCATGGCATTCCCTTGTGATGCCTTTATATCCATGTAATGTCATGTTTCACATCTTAGCTTGTGATTATTATTGCCTTATTGTTTTCAATGTAATGCTTAACAAAGAATTTAAATCACAATTCACATACGAAAAATAAAGTAAATGGGCATAACAAAGACTTTTTGGTGAAAGGGGAAAATTTTATTAATGAGCTTGGCATGTGGATAGGCATTCGTACATGGAGACAACTCCTAAATGAGGAAGTTGCAAAGAAAATATAAAATACAACAGGTAAAATGGCAACAAGAAAATCTCAAACTTTCACTAAAACTGATATTTCTATAGTTCCCATATCCTGGATCGTCCTAGCGTTGTGCTTCCGAAGGATAATAGTTGAATTGATCCATCTAGTGTTAGGAGGGTGTACTTGTTATTTGTGAAGAGTTTTCAGACTGCGTTCTCTCGCTTTTTGTCCCTAATTTTTGCCTGGATCGCCCTTTCGAGTTTTCAATCCACCGGGATACCCATTTTTTCCTAAGCCGCCCTTTCCGGTTTTCAAATTAGCGGGTTATTATTTTTTATTTTTTATTTTTTTTAGCCCTAACTTTTTCCTAAGCCGCACTTTCTGGTTTTCGACTTAGCGAGTCTTTTTATGCGTAGTATTTTTTGACTAAGCCTAAATTGACTGGAAGAAGAACGTCTTCCCCATTCATGTTTGTCAGGATTAGAGAACCTCCTGAGAAAGCTTTCTTCACGATGTACGAACCCTCATAGTTGGGAGTCCACTTGCCTCTTGAATTAGAGTGAATTGGGAGAATCTTCCTTAAAACCAGGTCACCTGTGTGGAACTCTCGAGGTCGAATCTTCTTATCAAATGCTCTCTTGAGGCGCTGTTGGTATAACTGACCATGACAAATGGCCGCTAGGTGCTTATCTTTGATGAGATTGAGTTGATCAAGCCTTGTTTGAATCCATTCAGCTTCATTAATTTTAGTATCCATCAAAATCCTTAATGAAGGAATCTCCACTTCGAATGGGAGCACCGCATCCATACCGTAGACTAGTGAAAAAGGAGTTTCCCCAATGGAGGTACGCACCGAAGTTTGATAGCCGTGCAGGAAAAAGGAAACATCTCATGCCAATCTTTGTATGTTCTCACTATTTTCTGGACAATCTTCTTTATGTTCTTGTTAGCTGTTTCAACTGCCCCATTCATCTTTGGCCGGTAGGGTGATGAATTATGGTGTTCAATCTTGAATTCTTCACACATTTTCTTCATCATTTTGTTGTTGAGGTTCAACCCGTTATCA